AATATAAGGTAACCAGAACAGTGGGGTTGTGGTTGGGGGTTTAGTTTGGGTGTTGGGGAGTACACTATAAGAAGAGGGAGGAGGTGGAAGAACAAGATATATAGGGGAACACTGAGACAGGTTTGCATGGCCTAAGTGAGACAGATGTAAATAGTGATACATACTCAACCTTGGAAAAACAGGGGTCTATAATATAGGGATCTAGGCATAGCTTGCGTAGTGGTTATGAATCGGGCTGCGAACCACAAGGTCAGCAGTTCGAAACTACCAGCTGTTCCGCGTTCTGCTCCCGTAAAGATTTACAGCCTCAGAAACCCTGTACAAGGTTGCTATGAGTTGGAGCCGACTCCACGGCACACAGCCAGGCATAGCTTGAAGAGGGGAAATGATACTAAAATGCTTGACTGTCTTATGAATATTGGTTTCTCTTGCCTACTATTTTAAAATAGACACTTGAGTGGGATAGAAAGTAATATTGGGAAACATGATTACAGAATATCTGTAAGTCCATCTTCAGCCTACAACTGACTGGAATACCTAAAAGGGGTTCTAGAACTTGCCCAGTGAAATAGGCTTGTTGCAAAGCCTTGGCAGAGTACAGGGTCTTAGGTGGACTCTTGAGTCCCATCCAGAACCTTATGAGGTAGGACATCTCCACTAGCAAGAACAAGCAGACCAGCTTGGAACAGCTACGGTGACAGAAGATACATCTTCAAAGAAAGATCATCAAGAAAAACCCAAAACAAAAATGTCAGCATGACTGGCTACTACAAGAATAAGCAATCTATTCGCTAGGAAGCCATCAATTCAACCAATCAAGTTGCTGGCGACCACATTGGTCTACTGCTGAGTGGAAGAGGGAAAAAGGCAGCAATGAAAAAATGGGCTAAGTTCAACCACGGTCCATTGGCTCCTGCTGACCTGGAGACAAGAGAGTGAAGATGAAGGGCTGGTTTGTCCAATGTGTGGTGAGACCTGCAGACACTTGAGTCCATGGACAAGGACATAGCCACGGAGGACTAGAGCTGACAGTGAAGCATCCAACTGACATGAAGTGAGGGGAGATGCAAAAAGAACACCCAAACTTGCAGACAGTACCCATTCGACCTAGCCTTGATGGTTTGATAATCAGAGCTCGACTAAAGACTAGAGGAAGAGTACATAAAAACAAAACAAAACTTTTTTTTTTTTTTTCTTAGATTCACAACTGAACAGCTCAAGATGGAGTTTGTACTTTGAGCTGATTTAAAACTTTGGGGACAATATGATGGGGTAAAAGTATTTTGCATGTGGCAAGGACATGAATTTGGGGGGCCAAAGGGTGGAATGGAGTCCTGGTGTGGTGCTGTGGGATAATGCACTAGGCTGCAAGGTCATTTGAACTGCAAGGTTGGCAGTTCAAGCTCACCAGCCGCTCCTCGGAAACTCTACAAAGGGTCGCTATGGATTGGAACTGACTTAACAACATTCAATGTCAATAACAAAGGGTGGAATGCTACTAATTGAAATGTGTGGCCCTAAAATATGCATAAACATGGTTGGACCATGATTCTCAGTGGTGTGGTGGTTATGTGATGATGTAATTGGGTATGATCAAGCAATCAGTTGTTAAGGTTATTAGAAAAAAAACAAAACTCACTCTCATTAAGTTGACTCCAACTCATAGCAACCCTGAATAGGATTTCCTAGGCTGTGAAGCTTTAATAGAAAAGAAAGTTTTATCTTTCTCCAGTGGAGAGGCTGATGGGTTTGAACTACTGGCCTTGGAGTTAGCAGTCCAGTGTTTACCCTACAGCACGACCAGGGCTCTACAGCCCTAAAAATATATGGTGAATTCCCTGGAGTGTTACCTGTATAACTTTTTATCTTATAAGCAAAGAAAGGGGAGAGAAGTATACAGAGAGGGTTCTGAAAACCACAAACAAAGAGTAGACCAAGAACGACCTTTGGAAACGGTCCCTACACTAAGAACTTTCTACATCCATGGGAAGGTTGATGGGCCCACAAATGTTTAAAGGTGACAGAAACTTTCTCCCTAAACTGACAGAGATAGTCTTCTCCTATGAAGAAATGTGCAAAGACCTGGAGTTGCAAAACCCAAAGGGAAGAATACACTCCACATTTCTCAAGCTGAAAGAACTGAAGAAAAAATTCATGCCTTGAATTGAAATACTGAAGTATTCTATGGGCAAAATATTGAAAGATTTAGGAAACATCAAAAAAAGATGTAAGTAATATATAAAGTCACTGTACTAAAAAGATTTGGGGGTGTTCAATCACTTCAGGAGGTAGTTTATGATCAAAAGCCAATGATACTGAAGGAAAAAATGTAAGTTGCTCTGAAGACACTGGCAAAAAACAAAGCTCAAAGAATTTACATAGTAAGACTCCACAGCACATAACAACAACAATTGAACTGTTTCAATAAACTGTTGCTGTTTATTGTCTATGCCAAGAAATTTGGCAGAAAGCTGCTACCTAGTCCGTATCTGTGCCCATTCCAAAGAAAGGTGACCCAAAGGAATATGGAAATCATTGAACAATATCACTAATATCACACAGAAGTAAAATTTCATAATACATTTACAGGAAACCATTAGAAATTCAAGCAGGATTCAAAAGAGTATGTGGAACAAGGGATATTGTTGCTGAGGTCAGATGTGTTTCATCTGACTATGCAAAGGCGTTTGACTATACGGATCATAACTGGATAACATTGCAATGAGTGGGAATTCTAGAACACGTAACTGTTCTCATGAAGAATCTGTATATACACTAAGAGGCAGTTGGTAGAACAGAACAAAAGGATACTGAATGGTTTAAAATAAGAAAAGGAGTAAGCCAGGATTGTAACCTTTCACCATACTTATTTAATCTGTATGCTGAGCAAATAATTTGAGAAGCTGGACTACATGAAGAACACGGCATCAACTTTAGAGAAAGATTCATTAACAACCTTAGATATGGAGATGATACAATCTTGCTTGCTTTAAAGGAAGAGGATTTCCTGATAAAAGATCAATACCATCTTCAGTATGGATTACAATTCAGTATAAAGAAAAACAAAATCCTCATAACTGGATTAATAAACAATAACATGACAAACAAATAAAAAAGACTGATGTTGTCAAGATCTCATTTTATTTGGATCCACATCAACGCTCATGGAAGCAGCTAGTCAAGAAATCAACAATTTATTGCATTGGGCAACTCCATTGCAAAAGACCTCTTTAAAGTGTTAAAGAACACTAAGGTCACATGACCCACACCAAAGCAGTTTCAATCATGTCATATACATGTGAAAGCTGTACAATACATAAGGAAGATCAGAGAATAACCAATTCATTTGAAATAATACCACTGACTGCTGGAAGAATAAACAAATTTGTCTTGAAAGAAGTACAACCAGAGTTTATCTCACATACTTTGGACATGTTATCTGGAGGGGTCAGATCCTGGAAAAGGACATTATGCTTTCTAAAGTAGAGGATCAGCTAAAAAGAGAAAGACCACTATGAGACAGACTGACACAGTGACTGCTACAATGGGCTCAAACATAACAACAATTGTGAGAATGCTGCATAGGGTCGGTCACTGTGAATCAGAGCCTACCTGATAGCACTTAACAGCAACATTTTCAAATACACATTACATTATGCTTTGTGAGATTATAAGAAAAATTGTGAAAAAATGTAATTTTAGGTCTCTATTATAATTATTTTCACTTCCATGTAAAAAAAAGTTTGGTGGATAAATGTTAATTTAAATTTATTTGAGAGTTCTAGGTTACCATGTTGGATTGAACACACATATCTAATATAATTTTTTCCTGAAACCCCATTAAAATTTAAGGGAAAAAAGAAATTCCTTTTTATAAGGAATATAACCCAGAAAAGAACAGGAGACAAGACAACAGCAACATAATTTTAGAAGCTAGAAAGCAAATGGATAAGAGTGAAGTAACAGACTTGGCAGACCTTTCTACCAAGTGTGTAAAAAGGGCTTACAGCTTCTGCATTTAGTATTCAATATTCATAGTCAGTATGGAATTAGCCTATATTCACATCACAAATCTGCATTGATCCCTTTGTTTTACTCTTCCCATAGATTAAACCACTAGAATTCCTAGATATAGAGCAATTCATAAAAATCTTATTTAATAAAGTATTGGTTGGTTATCAAGATGTGACCCAAGGATACTTGAGGGTCCTAGAGATCTTTCTAGAAAATGGTAAGGTCAAAACTGTATTTTATAACAATATTAATAAGATATCATTTACTCTTTCACTGGATTGATATTTGCCGTAATTGAGCAAAAACAATGGTGACTAAAACTGTTCCTGTCTTGGTACAAGTCAAGGAGGCAAACTGTTCTAGTAGTTACTGTGCTCTTTACTACCACAAATAGAAAAAGAAGGGGAAAAAAGCCAATTAGACTTAAGAATGTCCAGGGTGAAACAGTAAAAAGGATTAATTTATTAAACTTCAACATCTAAGTATATATAGTTTTAATATTCTTTGTGACAAAATGGGAAGCATACACAAATCAGTTTTGCTGTACACTGAAGTTTAAGGATTATCCCAAGGAAACGCACTTGTGTGAATGAGTGAACAGTGGAATTAGATGCTTTTTTCATGGAATGCCATTTTTATTTGAAAGAACAATTGACAGACAAACTATTCAGATTTGGCTAATAGCAGGCATTTCCTTGAAAATGAATGAAGTGGGCTTGTTGTTTCAGGGAAAACAACAGACAGTTTGTAGAAAAGTAAAATAAAAGGTAAAAGAATTTTCCACAAACATTTTGAAGCCCCCTCGCATACTTCCCCCAAAAGCTGTAATGCTTGAGGCGTGGATTAAGATAGATTCTTTCCTATTTACTCCCTGTAACATTTATTGAGTAAACACAATATTAATTTGTTGAATAACAAATTGTCTAAAAGGACTAATATAACTTAAAAGTAATTCTTGGACTAGAGACAATTATAATGAGTTTAGTTACTAATTGTACCAGCAGTACCCAAAATGAAGCTTACCATATAAAACAAAAGCTATTTTCAAAATTAACTACTTACTTCTCCACCAAGAACTCTGGCCAGTAGGAAAATTGTTAAGGAACCAAATATCCAAATGGTGATAATCCATGAGACCACCTTAAGGTAACACAACAAAAAATATTTCAAGCAACTATTTTGTCTGTACCAAACCACTAGATAATTTTCTAGGAACTCAATTCTCTTCCATGTAAGAAATGCCCAATTTCAGGTCACAGAAAGGTTGTGTGGGTTCCCAGGTTATTTTTCTAAAATTTAAGAAAATTACAATGTTTAATAAAATTCTGTACCAATAATGAAAACATAGCAATGATCAACTGCCTAAGGAAACCTCAGTATTTCAAAATCTGGTTTACAGCAGCACCTGCACATAATAACTGAAGCAAATCTCCAATCTTCTCTGGAGGTCTTTAAGATTTTAATTAGTGACACATTTATTCAATTAATACAATACAGAAGGCATTTCAGACAATTTTAACGCCAGACTTAGTGTAATGATACACACTTATAGTTCCAAACTCTGCCAAGATGGCTCAGAGTCAATGATACCTCAGTAGCAACATAAGCAAACTTATTATCCTGATCCTAGATTCTAAATACAGGAAGCAAGACTTCTTAGACAAATGGTTGATTCCAGGACTGAGGCAATGAAAACACAAGATAAATCTGAAAGATCTTGTAGCGTCAGAAAGTAAGGAAGTGCTCAAAAAAGGATGGGGACATGTTGAAAGGATAAAGAAGTCATCCTGAGGTTTCCCAAGGTTAAAAGTGGAACTGGAGCAATTAAAGAAATTGTAATACTAGAGTATAACTCAGAGGATATGGCATTTTAGTGGCATTACAGGATAAACACTGAACTGCTAATTCCAAGGTTGCCAGTTCAAATCCACCAATCACTCCGCAGGAGAAAGATGAAGCTATCTGTTCCTATGAAGATTTAGTCTCAGAAATCCTACAAAGGGTTGCTCTGAGTTGGAACTGATTCGATGGCAGTGGGCTTGAGTTCATACAAACATAAATAAATAACTGAATAGTTAAATAATGAGAAAGATCTTAGGATGCATGTGGTACAGAGGGCCCCCCTTTTTTCACCAATGCAGAGCACAAAGAGGGTGGTGGTGCTGGTGGTCAGGTGTTGCCCTCTTCATGGGATGCATTCTCATCTGCAACAGCCCTGCACAGCTCCACTCCCTCTTCTCACCTTCCTGGCACTGTCAGGACCTTGGCCAATCTCCTACTTTCCACCTATGACCTTACATTGTCCCGCTGTTGCCACATGCCCTTTATGGTCATGTGACATATCACAAGCATATGGGAAAAGGCATCCTATGGCCAGTCAGCCGCCATCCCTATGTGATGACCCTGTCATAGCCAGGACCTCTGGTATATCAATTGGGGGTGACCTGTGGAGTGCACCTCTGAGTCCAGCCGCAGTCAGTCCCTTATTGGGTCCCAAATGTTGGAGGCACGGCCTGAGAATTTTTTCAAGGTTGTTCTAAATATAAAATGTTGGCTAATAAGGTATCACTGAGGTATATTGTTAAGTCTCGTGGAATTGGTTCTGACTCACAGTGATCCTTTGTAGGGTTTCTGAGCAGCAGCAGGTGGGTTTGAACCACAGATCTTGTGGTTAGCAGTCCAGTGCTTAACCTACAGTGCTTTACCACAACTCCAAAAAAAAGGTATATAAAAGTCAAAGGCATGAGATAAATACAAAATTCTCTATTTAGCAAATATTTTAGTAATCATTTTTACAAGTAATACCCATCGATGGCTACTAAAATTAGCAGACTATGGTTTGATGAGAAACTGAATATATGCATAATTGCAAAATATCTCTATAAGATTTAAAGGAAAAAATAGCAACTTACAATGGAGGAACTGGGCAGCACTATGTTTATCATCTAATCAAGTGATTGATCAAGGTTATGTCATTAGTAACAAGTATAATATCATTGTTGTTAAGTGCCATCAAGTCGGTTCTGACTCATAGCAACACTGTATAGGGTTTCCCAGGAGCAGCTGGTGGGCTTGAACTCCTGACCTCATACCAGTATAATACTCAATGGGCACAACAACACTTCTATGGTTTTCTAGTTAAAAGTGCAAAAACTCAATCTAATCATGAGAAAATATAAGACAAATTCAACTTGATTAACGGTAAGTGCCGTGGAGTTGGTTTTGATTCATAGTGACCCTCTATAGGATTTTCTGAGCAGCTGGTGAATGTGAAATGTCAGCCTTGTGATTGGCAGTCCACTGTTTATCCTATAGTGCTACACAAGGACTCCAAGCAACTGAGTAGGGAGACAGTAATCTTGTGTTTAACCTTAAAATCCTTTGTTCAAATGAAAGTTATATAAAGCAAATACAATTAAAGACGTTCTTGATAAAGGTTTGGTGATAGGCAGGTCAGAATCCTTCTTTACTTTCAATGGGCTTTACAACACTTCCAACAGAATACCTAATTCTAAACTACTAAACTAGGGTCAATAGTAATAGCACTAGTATAATTCTCAATGAATACAGCTGAAAGGTTTCTTGTAGTAGGTTCAATAATGACCACATATCCAAGATGTCTACACCCTAATCCCAGGAACCTGTGAATGTTATTTTATACAGCAAAAGGACTTTCCATATGTGCTTGAGTTAAGGTTCTTGAGATGGGAAGAATATCCTGGGTTTTCTGGTTGTTTTTGCTATTAAGTGCCACCAAGTCAAATGTGACTCCTAGAAACACTGTATTGGATTTCGGAGGCTGTAAATCTTTGCATGAACAGAAAGCCTCATCCTTCTCCTGTAGAGCGGCTGTCTTGAACTGCTGAGCTTGTGATTCGCAATCCAGTGCTTATCCTACAGAAGCCATCACACTCCCATGAGATAAGCTATTTATATAATCGTCTTCGGTGTTAATCATTTCCTCAATTGACATCAATATGCTGAGATGAACATTTAGAATCCTGTTATCATCATCATTTAGATTTTCAACTTCATTCATCTTCCAATGAGCAAGCCAGTTTCAAATAAACCTATCAAAGTAAATAAGCATGTGGAGCCTCTCATTATTATTTTTTATTCAATGTAATTATCAGTTTACTTTGTGCAGGCTTTAAAAATTCTCAATAAAGCCAAATATATGGCTGATTATAACAAACAAAAACGTTAGCTTTTTTTTTAGGTATCAGTAAATGTAAAAGAACTGGTGATATATTTCTAATTTTAGGTCTTCTTTGTAGGCATATGGATACCAGACTATCACATACAGCACTGTACATGGTTCAAGACAGATTTTGAATTCATGATTTTTGTGTTTTTTCTTGTGAGTTTCCTCATAGTTTTAATGTTTTCATAGTCTTCTTGGATTTTCATTCTCTTGGTATGCTGTGAAGTGTTAATTTTCTTTGAGGTTGCCTTATAGTCCATTAACTTTTCTGTCCATTTAGTGTAGTCTATTTTATCCTGTAATTGACCTGACCTTCTCACTACCTGGATCTCTTTTCCTACATGTTTACCTTTTTTTACATTGTACTTGTTTTGTTGACTTAATTCAGGGAGCTGCTGCCATGTATGTCAATCTCTGGTTGTCGTCTGTTCTTGCTGGTTCTCAGTCCACAAAACTCCCTTTAGGATGTTTTGTAGTGCAGAGTTGTAGTGCATTTTTGATTAATAGCTTTGCTGGATAAAGGATTCTTGGTTGGCAGTTTTTTTCTTTCAGGGTTTAATATATGTCTCCTCCCATTGCCTTCTCGCTTGCATGGTTCCTGCTGAGAGATCTGAGCTTAATCTGACTTGCTTGCCTTTGTATGTGACC